AATTCACAACGATTCACGCCCTTTACTTACGGTCACTACCGCTCACTTGACTCAATTATCTGTCTCTATATCTCTCTATCTGTAATTAATTATCTCACTTTATTTGCCGGGCTTATATACAAAAAAGAGGGTGCCTAGAAAAGACTAGAATTGCCAGGAAAAGTCAAGATCATTCACGAATCTCATGATGTGTTACCAACATCACGTGACTTCCGCTGATGTAACAATATGTTTGCAATCTAAATACGAGTGTCTTGTTTCCAATGTTGTTTACCAGCTTATATGTAACTTGTATGTTATCATACATAGGAAAAATCGGAAGCATGGAAGGTGCTCTGTGGCTTAAACCAGCTGTCTTACATCTGTTATCAGGCATTCTCTTATATTAACATTTATCTTGGTCACACTCAAGAATATAATTAACTCAAAATGTAAATAAAGAGTTTATGATTTTGAATATTTCACTAATATTTATTTAAGAATGGAAAAAGGAGTGTAGCCTTCTAGTTTTGTTTGAAGTTAAGCACAAAGCTATACAAGGGGCTATCTGTGCTCAGCCCACTACGGATATCAAAACCCGGTTTCTGTCACTGTAAATCTGCAGACTTACCACTGTGTCACTGGGGGCAGCCTTCTAGTTAACCTTGTAGTAGAAAAATAAGAACAACAACCTTTCAATTAAAACTTGAGAAATCATTAAAAAATACTTACTTTACAACAGATGTTTCATAATAGACATTAAACAGAACAGAAACTTGTTAATTATTAATATAATCACAGAAGTAAATATAACAAGATACAAGTAGATTTCCAAATGTTAGCAACTTTATTTTACTGATACTTTAATAGTTTGGTTGCTGTTTTTTGTTTAGTTTTTTCAAAATAATCAACCAATCTGGATTTAATTCTACAAATCAGACTAAGTTTTATATGATTGCAGCAACCATTGGATTGTTTAGAGGATTATCTGAATAATACTTAACAGATACATTAATTAATATTAATTTAAATTCTTTTCTTGCCAGTTACGTTTCATGCTCTATAATAAACTTTGTTTTCAATTTTCTTGCAATGCATTTAGATACTCAAATCCAGTTACCAACCAAAAAGTATAATATAACTGAATAACTATATAAGATGTGAATTATCACAATGTTTATCATAAAATATAATAAACCTGCAAGTTCATTTGTGTTTATAACTGAACCAGTTTTTAGAGATGGTTTGTGAATTCTCTCTTCATAATTGTGATACAAGCTAAAGCTGTATAACTTTAATATACATACTTTATCCAGAAATTCAGTAAATAACAACTTAAAGATATAAAATAACATGTAGCTTCTTTGTTTTGACACCCACTGCATTGCACTTGTTGTGTTTGGTTATCATTGGCTAATATTGTATTTATGTTTGGTTATCATTGGCTAACATTGTATTTATGTTTGGTTATCACTGGCTATCATTGCATTTATGTTTGGTTATCACTGGCTATCATTGCATTTATGTTTGGTTATCATTGGATAATATTGTATTTATGTTTGGTTATCATTGGCTAACATTGTATTTATGTTTGGTTATCACTGGCTAACATTGTATTTATGTTTGGTTATCATTGGCTAACCTTATATTTATGTTTGGTTATCACTGGCTAACATTGTATTTATGTTTGGTTATCATTGGCTAACCTTGTATTTATGTTTGGTTATCATTGCCTAACATTGTATTTATATTTGGTTATCATTGGCTAATGTGATATTTATGTTTGGTTATCATTGGCTAACATTGTATTTATGTTTGGTTATCATTGG